TAAAACAAACTGTCCTGTCTAAGGGTTTTACTTAACTGTCTTTTGTTAGATTTGTCTTGGGAAAGTTTCAGGGTAATATAGCCTTAATAGCTGAAGTTTTTCAAAAGTAGGCTTCATGTTTCGGAACCCATAAATTATGGTTTGATGCATTGTTTTTTAAGTAGCAAGCAGAATTAATAAGAAGGGGCTTAAAAGATACCTGTTGAACCCAGGTGAATAGAGGGAACATGGAACTTGTTACTACTCCCAATTTATGTAGCAGTATTGTGGGTTTAAATTTGGCTAGCTCAAAATTATACAAATAATTATATCAAGTTCTTCTTTTTCTTACTCATTGTCCTAAGCTCTTTAGCATGCAGGCGGCATAAATAGCAGGCAGGAGAGATAGGAAAGGGGAAAGACCTTTCTGCCCCTTGGACCCTTATATGCACTAGCGTGGATGATAGGGTAAAAAAATAAAGTGATTCTTGGCCTTTTTCAAAGGATTATGTTCTAAACAGAGGCATGATGCCTGGTCTTTGATGGCGCTTTTCAAGGGTTGGGAACCTAAATCCGCAAGGCTTACTTTGACGTTAACTTCTGTGTAACTTTATGAAAATCTCCTTATGTCTGTTGTTGAAGCTGGGTTTCTTTATGTTTTATAGGGAAATGCCTGATATCTCTCTCACCCCTATGGATAGGATGATCCAAGATGATAAAATAATTGACTTGGAAAGCCTTTAGAAATAACATGGTATTCATGGATACTGTAGATGCTGGCTCATCATCTACCTCCCACTCCCCCCTTCTAGCAGTTCCTCAAATGCTGGAATTTTTCAGAACTGCATTTTGTTCTGGGCATTCTTACTCCTTTTCTGATAAAGTGGTCTTTATCCATTCCCATCGTCACAGTTCTGTGTACCATGCGCACAGAACCACCTTTTGGGCTTCAGGTACTTGTGAACTTCTAAGCTTTATTGACCAAATCTATTTGAAGTTGCTCTTCAAGAAATACAGTCCAGTCACTGAAAGCAATTGAAAAGCTGTACTTGCTCTTAACTTACGTCTCTTGAAGAAGATAATAGCATGTAGGTTATAACTCAGCAGCAGTTCTTAAAATCCTTCATCCCCTCTCCTCCCCAACTGGTCTCAGTCCCTTTGACACAGGCTCCCATTTTCCCCAGACTCCCCCTGAGCCTATCACTTGCAACTCTCCAGCCTTTTTCTTCTGAACTTCTCTCCACAGATCAGATCTTTTGCCTTGCCTACCCTCACTCTTTTTTTTTTTTTTGCCTAACATGATAAGGGATCAAGAACTAGCTGACAAAATCCAAATTATCCTTTGAGGAAGAGAGAAGAAAGAGGTCAGTTATTCTAGCAAAGACTTTCTTTGGATGGAGAAATAGGGAGGCTGAGAACACTCACTTATAAGTTGCCTGTACTTCTGGTACGCTTATAAGGTGCTCTGTTGGTTACCTGTTTGGATATTTCACAGAGCACTTCTGATTCAGGCACTCTGCGATATGACCTGATTATCTTCCATCTGAACTTGCTGCTTCCTGGGTCTACATGTACCACCATGCTGTCTACATGTACCAGCATGCTCCTAGTTGCCTTTTTCATCTTAACACTGTCCACCACTTCTTTCTGTCCGTCTCCATTTCATTTCATCCAGATACTCTGTAGTTTGAATAGTAAATTGATGGTTCTCTCCTCTGTTTCACTCAATGTCCATGCATTGTTGATCCCTTAAGATCATTCCCCACACCCCAACAAGAATCATCCTTTAAAAAACTGAATCTGATCTTGCCTTTTCATCTTTCACACCATTCATAGGCTTCTGAGTACCAAATCCTTAATTTGGCCTTTCAATTCCTATATAGTCTGATTGGTCACCGCCCATCTCTCAGAAAATCATTCTCTTTCCTCAGCAGGGTGCATTTCTTTCTTCCTCAAGGCCTTTGTCTAAGCAGGTCTGATTGTCTAAAGTGCCTCTTGGCCTGCCCCCCACCCCAGCTTACTCTTTCACCAGATTGCGGCCTACATATGAATTCTTTATTGGGGACTCTCTGACTCCTCAGCCTGGGCCGTTCCCTTTACTGTACACTCATGTTCCTTACACTTCCCAGAGACCCTAAGCTGCATGAGGACAGAAGGTGTCTCTGCCTCATACAGTGCAAACTCCGCCATGTTTAGTGGGGTGTTCCACTCAGATTCAGTGTTCTACAAATGCTCATTGGTTACTGGATGCAACATTCAAAATTTAATTCCTACCTACCATCTGTCTTCACTCACATTCTGCTTCACATTTTCTGTTTATCTCTGAAGAAACTCTGTGTTATTTACATTCTTAAACATTCTCTTCTGTGTTGAATTGTCTGCCCAGCCTTTCCTAGTCGCCCCCTAATTATCATCAGCAGGCAACATTTGTCAGCATCACCAGGTAAAGCCCAGCGAATGGCTTCATTATGGCCCTTACCATGTGTCTTAAATTACTCATTTGATTACATGCTTTTCTGTATAAGGATTGCATCTAGTTTCCTTCATAGCAGGGGCATTGTTGTTTATGTACTCTCTCTATTTTTTTTTTTTTTTTGTTACTGGGGATTGAACCCAGAGGTCTAACCACTGAGCCACATCCTCAGCCCCCCCAAATATATTTTATTTTGAGACAGAGTCTTACTGAATTGCTTAGGGCCTAAGTTGCTGAGGCTGGCTTTGAACTCTTGATCCTCCTGCCTCCTGAGCCACTGGGATTACAGGCATATGCCACCACACCCGGCCTCTTAACATCAACACCAAACACAGATTGAACTGAATTGAAAATTGAGATACCTTATAATTAGAGACAATAATAAAAAATGTTGATAAATTATTGGCTGCCTTCTGTAAGCTGGGTGTAGTTTTAAGTGTTTTACTCTATTTATTGACTTTTGTCAACCCCTGTGAAGGAATTTTGTTCCCATATTCTTGATTAGGAACTGGAGACACAGAAGGTTTATGTAATTTTAACCAGCTCTGGTAAGAGGCAAGGTTGGAGTTGAAATCCACTGATTCATGAGCCTGCCTTCAATCCATGCTGATCATTCAGTATAGCCTTCAAAACTGGGACTGGAATCTGTCGGTTTTTAAGTCTGGTTCTTCAACTTACTTGCCCCTGGGTAAAGTTCTTCTTTATAAAATGGGAATAATTACATGTCCTTAAGAGAGGTGTGCTAAAGATTAGTGACAATCAGCCCACATAAAATATCTGACAGAATGTAGGCAGTTGTAGTTAAAAGTCAGTGTGTGAGCACTCATTGGATAGATCTTCTGGGGTTCTTTCCAACTCTGAATACAATGGCTCTGACTTTTTATAGTTCCTTTGCCATTACTTGTTACTTTTAATGCTCTGGTATTTATCCTAAACAATCAAGGGCATAAGGACATGTGTGCAGTTCTTGTAAGATTTATGGATTTTGTGACAAGCACACATTGCCTAAAACCCACCTTCCTGATTTCCCATGCTCAATGGGTTAGATGGCTCAATTAAAGACCCCTGGCTGGAGAGAGCAGCTGAATTCTTGTTTACAGATAGACCAGTGCAGAAAAAGAAATACAAATAATAAATTAGTGTTTGATTTTTGACTTTTGATTGAAATGTTTTAATAGTAATAGAATAAGAATATAAAGTTAACTCATTGACATTTGTAGGAAATTAGGCAAAGGGCATTTTAGGTGGTCTGTGCTATTATACTCAGTAGTAAGTCAAATGGAAATTTTTAGCTGTTTAGGTGATTTAATTGAAAAGATAATTCATACTGTGTCTAATGACACTTTCTTCTTTTTTTTTAAAGAGAGAGAAGAGAGAAGAGAAAGAGAGAGAGAATTTTTTAATATTTATTTTTCTGTTTTCGGTGGACACACGTCTTTATTTTATGTGGTGCTGAGGATTGAACCCAGCGCCCTGCGCATGCCAGGCGAGCGTGTTACTGCTTGAGCCCATAATGACACTTTCGTATTTAATGAATAATAAAGGTTATTATTTCCATATGCTGACAGTAGCAGAGACATTGGTAGAAAGTATTTTTATTTCTTTGACTTGTGTGCAAATTTAATAGCTACTTATTAGTAGTTTTGCAACAATACAGTGAATTTTCTAGAAGTAAATGTGTTTCTTAAATAAAATTTGTCTATTTGTCCATTTATTTGCCTTACTCAAAGATAGAACAAAGCAAATAAAACAAAAGAAAAACTTATAATAGGTGAAACTGCACACTACTGTGACATCAGGAGGGAGTTCTGTTCACCAAATGAGTAACCTGTAGTCCAAAACACATGGTGGAGGCAGGCCTCTATTACTGCATATGGAGGGAAATGAGAAAAAGCTGTATGATTTATACCAGCCATCAATAAGCAAAAATCATTTGGTTGGCTGGGAGTAGTAGAGTGCTTGCCTAGTATATGTGAGGCTTTAGGTTGGATTCCCAGCACTGGGAAAAAAAAATATTGAGAAGCACATCTATTGCTGTTACTCAGATTAGAATTGTGTCTGTTTTATTGAATGTGACAGCACACTCAACATCCCTCTTAAAGCAAACAAGCTATAGGTTTTTTGGTGCTATTTTCTTTAATGCAGACTTGTTTTTTTGATGTCATAAAAATTATTTCATTAGAAGTAATTCTACATGTGTCTATTGTACAACTTATGAATATTTTGGCTTAATGTAGGAATTGATTTATGATGGCTACATATTGCAAGGCAGCCAGAGCCTGGCCAGGGTAATTTCTCCTGGTCAGGAGGGGATAATACACCTGAGAAAATAGTCTGAAATAATTAGTGAAGAAATAAAAGACAGAGTCAGAATAGGTTTTAAAGCAGAGTGCCTGGGAGATCCTTCCAGTCCTTGTAGGAGCTGGAACAGAATAATTAAAAAATGGCTCTAGTGGTTTATTTAAGGAGGTATATCAAAGGCAGGGATAAGGTTTCAGGGCAGAGTCTTGCTTCTTGATGTCTTGCAGTCAACTGGTTGATTGGCATCATGGCAGGCTCACACCTCTCAGAGAGGCTGTGTAGCTACAGTACCATCTCTGATGCGGTGTGGGAGTTGGCAGAGCTGAATAAGACTCATGTGTATGGGCGGTGTTAACCAGTGGGATTGCCACTGGAAGGTCCCAAATACCAGATTTTCCTATTCAATGGGCTTCCATGTCGATTTGGTCCACACGTAGTCCATGGATGGCTCCTGATAGCTACAGATAAAAAGCAACTAAATTTTTGTTAATAACCCTGATCTTTTTTGTTTTCCCAATGAGGTCTTGGTGAGTATTGATTAGATATTAGTTTTAGTCTACATAAACAGACATACCTGGAAATTGGAAGTGCCACATGGGAGTGAGAGAGATGTGGCAGGCAGGGCTGAGGTTTTCTTTAAAACATTTTTTTATTGACTCAAAGTTCTGCACCATAGAACTTGAGTTTTTAAAATAACACAGTGAGGGCTGGAGTTGTGGCTCAGAGATAGAGGGGTTGCCTAGCATGCATGAGGCACTGGGTTTGATCCTCAGCACCACATAAAAAGAAAGGTATTTTGTCCACCTATAACTGAATAAATGAATAAATAAATAAATATTTTAAAAAATAACATAGTGAATGTCAAGATCACTTCTGGAGGATTTTTGAAACCAAACCCATCTCCCATCTGTATAGTTTTCAATTTGTTAGTCTTGAGGTAAGGTGAGGGCATCTTCATTAAAACAAATGAACAGAAAAGTCACACCGTGATTCTGATTATCAGTGAAGTTAGAGCTAATGCCATATATATATAAATATAGCCAATATAACTAAATATACCTTAGCCATGAAACTTTATTTTATGTCTAACATCACGTATTTTTGTGAACTGTAAATTCCTTAAGGTACTTTCCAATTTCTAAGCCATTTCTGAAATGTAAACTAGACAATTGAATAGGGTAACTTAATATGGGTTTTATGAGTAAACCAACTTAAAGCTTTGCTGTATTTGTTGGAAATAACGATTTTGAATAGTTAATATGTATTCTGGGATAATTTTTATTTTTATCGTTGTCTGATTACATTTCCATATAGAGCAAACATATTTCAGTAATGATATTCTTTCTAGGGAGCATTTTTGTATTTTTAGACCTTAAAATTTATAATGTACACTTATACATTCTAATGTTATTTGAGGTCTTCAGAGGTACCTTTATTTATAGGCTTTCAAATGATAATAAAAAAAATGGTACCCTGAGTCAGTATCCAATGTACTTATCTTCAGTGGTACCCTATTAGGTATAAACACAAGCTTCAAATATGTGGTAATTTTTGTTTGAAGTAGAACACCAAGCCCATAGGTATATGTCTTAATTCTCTGTTAATATTTGTAACATTAGAAATCTTGCTTAAGTGTCTAATGGTCACTTTTCACTTTCTTTCTAGGCATTGCATCTATGACAGTGCCAGTGTACATTGCGGAGGTCTCGCCACCCAATCTAAGAGGCCGACTAGTTACTATTAACACCCTCTTCATCACAGGAGGACAGTTCTTTGCAAGTGTTGTTGATGGAGCCTTCAGTTATCTCCAAAAGGATGGGTGGAGGTTTGTAAATAGTTTTTGTATTGAATTTGTCAAATAAATTATGAATTCCAGAAGTGGGAAAAATTGAGAAATTGTAGGCAAAATATAACTGGATATTTTGAGTTATTATAGTTTAATTTGTAAGTGGGTGGCATTCAGCAAAATTGAAAGTAGACAGGAAGCTGATATTTATTTTAATGATAGAAAGGAATCTACCATTAAGAATTGATATTTACCAGGTTTTTAGCATTTAGGTGACATTTCTCACATTGTGTGTAATCATTTTGCAATATTTGTTTAAAAATGAATGCAGAGATAAATATGTATGGTGTTCTTGAATTATGTGAGTGATTGACAAGTGGTTTATGAACTACAGATATAACTTACATCCTTTTTTGGATTTAGGAAACTACATTCTTATCTGAAGAAACGTATTTGTTAAAGATACAGGTTTAGTTATATTAAAAATATTATATGTGTAGATTTAAAACATAGAAATCATTCTTTGGTTGTTTGAGATTTCTTTTTAACCAGAAGAAATGAGAAAAAGTGATATTGAAAATATTAAAATGAGGAGGGCTGGTGATATAGCTCAGTTGGTACAATGCTTGCTTTGTATGCACAAGGTCCTGGGTTCAATCCCCAGCACCGGAAAAAAACAAACAAACAAACAAACAAAACATACATTAAAGTGAATCCAAACTGAATATTGTTAAAAAAAAACTACTTTTATGTTAAAGCTTAAAGATAGAGGCTCTATATTCTGTATTTTGAGTTCTTAATTGATGGTATTCAAAACAACAGATTCATGTAACCATTCCAGGGAAATTTTATTAGAATGGATGCTGGTTAAATGGTATCATCTAACTTGTTTTCTTGCCATTGTTTATTACAATAAATGTTGATTCAGCAGTTACTTTGTATTTGACATAGAGTATTGAGCAAGACAGACTCAAGCTCTAGCTTGTATGGCATTTTCAGTGTTGAAGTTAATCCTGACATCTAAAGGGGAAGGTTCAGAGGTGTTGAGGGTGTGGGGAATTGAGTTTTGTAAATAGTGTGATAAATCATTTGGCTTAGGGAGAGCTACTGAAGATAGCTGGTGGAGTTTTATTAGAAGTCATGGGAGAAAACTCTTTGACACCAGTGAGGGCCTACATTTGTCAGGACCATTAAAGAGAGGACTCATTTGTTACAGGTGGTAGCTGTGTCTGTAGATACTGCTAAACTGCTTTCCACCTTTGAAACAATCAGTCTCTGCCCAAGTGAGAAGTTATTGGAAAATTGAAGAAGCAGGGAATTTTATCTTTCTTTTCTACTGTAGGTGAAGTAAAAGAGGTAGATGGTAATTATTATCACTATAACCTGGTATTTTTTATTTTTCATGGAAAATCAGAGAAGTCATTTAATCCTTAAGCATGCATGTCTTCAGAAAGATGTAAACCATTTATTTACGTCTTATTGAAACGTTTTATCAGCATAACTAATAGGTATATATTCATATTTATAGTACACTAAGTGCATAAGCCATATTTCTCACTAATGGGTAGCAATTTAAGTACATTTTCTCCATACTGGAAAGGAAAACAAGAAATCATGTGGTAGTGAAAATGAATTTATGAGTGTGGTGCATTTGTGTAGAAGTGGAGGGTTTTTGGAGACTCCTTTCCTTAGGCAGGGCGTTTTAGTCAACTTTCTCACTGTTGTGACCAAAAGATGTGAGAAGAAGAATTTTAGAGGAAGAAAAGTTTATATGGTGTTCAAGATTTCAGAGGTTTCAGTTTGTGGATGCCTGACTCCACTACTTGGGGCTGGAGGTGAGATAGTCCATCGTGGCAGGAGGATGTGACAAAGGAAAGCAGCTCAGAACGCATCAATCAGAAAGCAGATAGGGCTCTCCTCACCAGGGACAAAATATAAACCTCAAAGGCATGTCCTTGGTTACTTACCTCCTCCAGACACATCCTACATGCCTACAGTTGCCAACCAGTTAAATCCCTATCAAGGGATTGATGCACTGATTAGGTTAAACCTTTTACAACCCAATATTGGTTCACCTCTAAACTTTCTTGCATTGTGTCACGTATGAACTTTGGGCAGATGCCATAATACAGGTGACAGAGTCATAGATCTGAGTCCAAATCTGTTTTCTGCCATTCATTAGTTGTAAACCTGGGACAAATTATTGAACTCCTCCGAGCTTTATTTTTTTAAAACAAAAACCAAAGGAACCAAAAGTACTTACTTGAAAGATTACTTTGGGAAATAAATTATTATATGTAAAACGTTCAGCCTAGTGTTTGGCACAAGGCAAGTACTCTATCAATATTAATACAAGGTTACATTATTTACTATTCTAATGAATAAATCAAAGATGGGCACTATTGTAGGTGTGTTGTAAGGTAAACTGAAGTAAGCTCAACATTGCATGGTCTCTGTTTTCCTTATTACTAAGGTTGTGGCTTGGAGGTGGTAGAGCTTAGGCCTGGGTAAAAGAAATGTTTTCTAGAGACATATGATCCACCTAAGTTGAATCAGGAGGACATAGAAAAATTAAACAGATCAATTTCAAGAAATATAATTGAAGACACCATTAAAAGCCTACCAATGAAGAAAAGCCCAAGACCAGATGGATTCTCAGCTGAGTTCTACCAGATCTTCAAAGAAAAACTAACACCAATCCCCCTCAAATTATTCCACGACATAGAAAAAGAGGGCACCCTTCCAAACTCAATCCTATGAAGCTGGTATCACCTTGATACCAAAATCAGATGAAGACACATTAAGGAAAGAAAATTTCACACCAATATCCCTGATGAACATAGATATAAAAATTCTTAATAAAAAACTGACAAATCACATACAAAAACATACTAAAAAGATAGTGCACCATGATCAAGTGGGGTTCATCAAAGGGATGCAAGGTTGGTTCAACATATGGAAATAAATATACATGATATATCACATCAATGGACTTAAAGACAAATACCACATGATTATCTCAATAGATACAGAAGAAGCAATTGACAAGATTGAACAAGCTGTATATGCTAAACCCCAGGCCAACATTTTTCTAAATGGAAAAAAAAATTAAAAGCATTCCCTCTAAAAACTGGAACAAGATAGGGATGCCCTCTTTCACCACTCCTATTCAACATAGTCCTTGAAATCTTAGCCAGAGAAATTAATTAGAAGAAAGAAATTAAAAGGATATGAATAGGGAAAGAATAGCTCAAACTTCCCCTATTTGCTGCCAATATGATTCTATATTTAGAAGACCCAAAAAACTCTACCAGAAAACTTTTTTTATATATAATATATATCATAAATGGACAGAATATCTTTATTTTATTTTTATGATGTGCTGAGTATCAAACCCAGTGCCTCATGTGTGCAAGGCAAGCACTCCACCACTAAGTGACAACCTCAGCTCACGAGGAAGCTTCTTGAACTCATAAACGAATTCAGCATTTCTAGCAATTAGAGAAATGAAAATTAAAACTACACGGGATATAAAACTAACACTCATAAATCAATCACATTCCTGTACACCAATGATGAATCAGCTGAAAGAGAAATCAGGAAAACTATCCCATTCATAATAACTTCAAAAAAAATAAAATATTTTGGAATCAATCTAACAAAAGAGGTGAAAGATCTCTACAATGAAAACTACACAACACAAAGAAATCAAAGACCTTAAAAAAATGAAAAAGATCTTCCATGTTTTTGGATAGGCAGAATTAATATTGTCAAAATGACCACAGTACCCAAAGCAATATACAGATGTAATGCAGCTCCCACTAAAATTCCAATGATGTTCTTCATAGAAAGAGAAACAGCTGTCATGAAATTCATTTGGCAAAATAAGAGACCCAGAATAGCCAAAACAATTCTTAGTGAGTAAAGTAATGCCTCTGGCATCACAATACTAGATACAATATTACAATATTAAATTGTACTACAAAACTGTAGTTAAAAAAATGGCATGGTATTGGCACTAAAACAGACATGAAGATCAAGGAAACAGAGTAGAAGATACAGAGACATATCCACATCAGTAGAGTTATCTCGTACTAGACAATGGTGCCATAAATATACATTAGAGAAAAGATAGCCTCATCAACAAATGGTGCTGGGAAAACTGGAAATCCTTATGTAGTAGATTGAAATTGGATGACTATCTCTTACTCTGCACATAACACAAAGTGAATCAAGGACCCAAGCATTAGACCAGAGACCCTGCATCTACTAGAAGAAAAAGTAGGTCCCACTCTCTCCATCATGTTGCTCAGGAACCCACTTCCTCAATAAGTCTCCTAAAGCTCAAGAAGTAAAATTAAGAGTCAATAAATGGGATGGTATCAAATTAAATAGCTTCTTCACAGCAAAGGAAACCATCAAGAACATGAATAGAGAGCCTACAGAATGAGAGAAAAATCTCTGCCATCCGCACCTCACATAGAGCATTAATCTCCAGGGTATATAAAGAATTTAAAAAAACTTAACACCAAAACCCCCCAAATAACCCAATCAATAAATGGGCTAAGGAGCTGAACAGACATCATAGAAGAAGACATATAAATGGTCAAAAAATATGGAAAAATGTTCAACATTTCTAGCAATTAGAGAAATGAAAATTAAAACTGCACTGATACTCCAACTCACACCAGTCAGAATGGCAATTATCAAGAATATAAGTAACAGCCAGGTAAGGTGGCACCTTCCTGTAATCCCACCAGCTTGGGAGGCTAAGGCAATAGGATTTTGAGTTCAAAGCCAGCCTCAGCAATTAGGTCCTAATCAACTCAGCAAGACCCTGTCTCTTAATGAATTATATATATATAAAAGGGCTGGGGATGTGGCTCAGTGTTTAAGTGTCCCTTGGTTTAATCCCTGGTTCCAAAAATTTAATAAAAGGAAAAAAGTCCAAATAAAAGAATATAAGTAACAATAAATGTTAGTTAGCAAGGATGTGGGGAAAAATTTCACTCATACATTGCTGGTGGGATTGCAATTTG